TGGGCCTAAGACCCTCTTAGCTCAAACTTCTCCACTGACAAAGGAAGCAGGCCGTGTGGGGAGCCAAAATTCCCAAGACTCCCCATGTCAAAGACTGTCCTGTTGCCCCTGCCAGTGCATCTATAACCTGGTCCACCAAGGGGTTCAATGTTTAATTCAGAAAGCGTGGTCTGGCCCTCTGGGAGACTCCTCCCCTGGGCCTGGTTGCTGAAAACAGCAGATCCTCCAGATGCCTGTCTCCCTGACCCCATCATGCTCCCTTGAGCCCTGCACCCCGGGAGGAGGTGGACAGCCGTGGACCCCTTTTACCCAACCAGCCTGCCTCTTTTTTGGGACAAAAGGAAAAAGGGAAAAGAACAGTAAAGCCCCTCCAGCGGACAGCTCCGGGGAGCTGGACGTGAAGGGCAGGCGAGGCAGCGGTGGGGGCCGGGCAGTGAGCTCCTGCCCTGGAAGCCGCCCGCCTGCCCACAAGTACCGACATCCAGGAGACAGGACGTAGGAAGGAGGTGCTTACGGGGAACCTCTGGCACCGCTGGAAAGCTGTGCGAGCTCGTGAGCCCAACGGAGAAAGGAAAAACGCTGTCGGAGGTGGAAGCAAGAAAGAGAACCCAGGAAACCTGGCAAACCACATACCGTCTTTCCCGCCTGAGAATCAATTTAAGTGGAGGGAAAAGGGGCCAGCGGCCTAATCACGATTACAAAAATAAAGACGACTTTTCTGAACTCAAAGGTACTTTCAGTGTGGAATTGAAAAGATCTATAGCCGACTCTGGAAACTTCTTAAAGAAAGACACTCGTCCTCGGATACCTCTTCATCAGAGTTTAATCAAAAACGTCAAGATCTTCCAAGCACCCAGGAAGAAAAGAGAGGTGTGTTTAAAGATATAAGACTGATGCAGAATCCTGCTACACCAACCAGAAGGAGGAGAAAGGGGGAGGGACAGCTCAGATCAAGCTGAGAGAAAAGTTACGTTCATCAAAAACTGGATATGCAGCCAAACTAACGTTTCTCTTTAAAATAATCATAGTGTTATGGGCTGAATTGTTTTCCCCTCCAAATTCACAGGTTGAAGCCCTAACCCCCTGGACTGCAGAATGTGGATTTAAAGAGGTGATTAAGTTAACATGAAGCCATGGGGGGGGGTACTAATCCAATCTGACTGGTGTCCGTATAAGAAGAGGAAAATCAGACACAGAGAGACACCAGCAATGCGCCTGCAAAGAGGAAAGACCATGTGAGGACACAGAGAGAAGACAGCCACCTACAAGCCAAGGGAGAGGTCTCAGAAGAAACCAAACCGCCTATACTCGGATCTCAAACTTCCAGCCTCCAGAACTGCAAGAAATTTAATTTCTCTTGTTTAAGCCACCCAGTCTGGGGTACTTTGTTTTTCACTTAGTTTTTTTTGGTGAGGAAGATCAGCCCTGAGCTAACAGCTGTTGCCAGTACTCCTCTTTTTGCTGCTGAGGAAGACTGGCCCTGGGCTAACATCCGTGCCCATCTTCCTCCACTTTATATGGGACGCCGCCACAGCATGGCTTGACAAGCGGTGTGTCAGTGCGTGCCCGAGATCCGAACCTGCGGACCCGGGGCTGCCAAAGTGGAGCACGAGCGCTTAACCACTTGTGCCACCAGGCCGGCCCCTGTGGTATTTTGTTATGGCAGCCTTAGAAAACTAACACACACAGATAGACACCAGAAAACAATTTGTCAACCAACTCCCAAACCAGCAAAAATCATACGTAGGCTTGAGAAGGAGTGAAAGATGCTTGAAAAATACCTGCCCTCCAATATTATCAAAGAGTTAACGATGGAATGCAAGATCTGTGGACAAAGTGGACAATAGGTAGGGGGAACTGTAAGGAAGAAACTGAGAACTTCAAAAACAATTTCCGTTAGCCAAGATGTGTCAGCAGACGGGCTGGCAGAGAAGAGAGGAGTACGCCACACACTGCAGCCCTGTTCTCCTCCAGAAGCCATTTAGAGTTGAATGATAAAAATGTGTAAAGGAGGGGCCGGCCCAGCGTCGTAGCGGTTAAGTGTGCGCACTCTGCTTTGGCGGCCCAGGGTTCGCAGGTTTGGATCCCAGGCGTGCACCGACGCACCACTTGTCAAGCCATGCTGTGGCGGCGTCCCATATAAAGTAGAGGAAGATGGGCACGGATGTTAGCCCAGGGCCAGTCTCCCTCAGCAAAAAGAGGAGGATTGGCAGATGTTAGCTCAGCGCTAATCTCCCTCACACTCACACACAAAAAATACATAAAGGAAACAAGAGCAGTTTTAATAGTACTTTTCATTTACATTTCAGTGACATGCTTATCAAAGGGATGATGTCTTCATTTTATTAAAGGTTACAAAAATGTTAAAAAGAAACTGTTACCTAATGCATTTTGTTAGGAAAATATGATATTAATTCTCAAATCTGAGAAGCCCGGGACCACAAAGTTACAAGCCATGCAAAGCATCCCTGAAGCGGCCCTTCCACTAACCTTCTGCACCTGCGAGCACCTGAGAGGCGATGGGTGGAGCAGGCACTGGACCGGGAACCAGCAGATCTGGGTTTCAATGTCACTGTTGCCCATGACCAGCTGAGGGTCATGTGCATATCCTTGAACCTCTCTGTGCCCCCATTTCCTCAGTCTGTGAAATGGTTACAATACTCAGGATACAACGGTGCTTGAAAACACTGATGTCGCCCCAGCCTGTGGGCACAAGTGAGGTCACGTTAATATTAACACCCGAGTTCTGGTGGCTTAAAGCCCCCACCTGTGCAAAAACTCTTCTGCCTCAATAGAAACCCCACCTGTTTCTGGAAGATCCAGGTTTCACGGGTGCTCAGGGACAGGGGAGTGAATCTTTCTGTCTCCTCGACGACAGCCCACCAGCCAGCTGAAGAGGACTCCCGTCATTGGTCTGGCCCCAGCCTCAGTTGCCTTCCCTGACAACGTTCTTCCTTGATACTTGGTGGCTCTTCTGCAGGGTCCCCAGGGGTTTCTTACAGAATGGGAAGAAGGCCCCTCCTCCACAGTCTTCCATTTGGTTCTGCATCAAAAAGGCACCCTTATTCCCAGTGCCTCCTTCCGTAGGGCGGACTTGGCCATGGGCTGGGGGAGGCATCATCTCGTCCTCCAATGCCCCCTTCCCCCGGTGTACCCGCACTTGCACCCCGCCCCCCTCCTTAAGCAAGGAATGAAGCCCTGGAGATCAACTCCTGCCTGTAGACACATCTGTAGACACATCCTCCACGCCCCAGGTCCACTCAGGGTCAGGCTAGACCACGCTGTGGCAGAAGTGGTGGGACTTACACGTCCTCGATCTTTTCTCTGAACCCTTGGGACCAGATGTGTCTCAGAATTCAGAATTTTTCAGAGCAGAGGAAGGTCACGTATGGCTTATACTATGTATTAGATCCCTATTCTAGCTGGGGGTGCAGCTGCAGCGCAACCACCCCCGCTGAGAGTCTGCAGCGGGATGTAGGTAGCAGGACCACGTTGACAGAAATCCTCTTGCAATAGTTCAGGTCAGGTTTTGCCACTACATGTGTTTGTGGCAAACTCAGGACAAATTTTCAGAGCTTTTTGGAGTTTAGAAACGTGGATAAAGGACTGGGGAGCTGCCTTTCCCTCCTTCTGGGCGTGGCCGGAAGTCCCTTCCTGTACATCCCTGCTCTGGGGAGAAGTAGAGAGGAAAGGAGGAAAGCCGAGCAATTATTTTGCACTGACTGTGTGCGCGGCACACATCTGGCTCTTTCGCTCATGTTGTACCATTAAGGGGGTGGGTGCTGGCGGGCCTGGACCTCCTGTTCAGGGGAAAGGTCAGATCAGCCTGACTGGGAAGCAGGAAGCAGCCCCAGCTCCACAGCCCCGCTAATGTGTTTACCCAAGGCCTGGAGCAGGTGGGCGGTCCATTTGCTAATCTCTCCCAGCTGCCCCTGGGCTGGTATCACTGCTGAAAGGAGAGAAGGGGCCCTGGAGAGGCTGGGGAGGGGCGGAGCAGAGCCCCTCGGGGTCTCAGATCAGTTGAGCCATCTCCTTCCTCCCCGTGATGGAGAAAGAGGCCGTTCTCCAAGAGGAGTGGGCTTGGCCGGCGGGGCTCAGTCCTCCCTTCCCACCCTCCTGGCCCCTGGGCTGCGAGGGCGTGTCCTTTCTCTTCTAGTCATCGCCACAGTGAAAACTGCAGCCCCAGGGCTGTTCTGGGCCCCTGAACCTGTTCTGGCTCCAGGGCAGGGAGCTAAGGGAATCAACCCAGCATGCTTGAGACCCAAGGGGGTGTGTTGCTCCAGGGCTGCAGCATCAAATCTGCTTCAAGACCACCCCCTTTCCCAAGCAGTCCCTCTCCCATTGCTCGGCCTGGCACTTTTGGTTCCCCCAGCCCAGGAAAGGCCTGGAATCCTACAGACATCTTCCTTTCCACCCTGGCATTGCCACTGGAAGCCAGAGAAGTGATCAACTCAGGGAATGAGAGGTGGGCTCCAGGAAAGGGGGTGGGCTGGAAACAATTCACATTCATTCATCCATTCCATCCATCTATCCATCCATCTTTTCTTTCTTTCTTTTTTTTTTTTTTTGTGAGGGAGATCAGCCCTGAGCTAACATCCATGCCAATCCTCCTCTTTTTGCTGAGGAAGACAGGCTCTGAGCTAACATCTATTGCCAATCCTCCTCCTTTTTTTCCCCTAAAGCCCCAGTAGATAGTTGTATGTCATAGCTGCACATCCTTCTAGTTGCTGTATGTGGGACGCGGCCCCAGCATGGCCAGAGAAGCAGTGCGTCGGTGCGCACCCGGGATCCGAACCTGGACCACCAGCAGCAGAGCCTGCGCACTTAACCGCTAAGCCACGGGGCCGGCCCCATCAGTCTTTTCATTCATTCATCCAGCATTAATTTAGCCTTAATAATGTGCCAGACGAAATGTCCGTCATAAAGGAAAGCTCATAGCAGCTGACGTTATTAGCCTGCACCCGGCAGAGCCCTCTCCTTGTCCCAGGAAATGGGAATTGCTAGTGAAGCTAAGGTAAGGGTTGGATAAATTGTCCTCCCCTCTACCTGGGGAGCCACCCCCAAAGGAAGGAGCCTCTCTCCCCACCCCCAGATTGCAAAGTAGGGTGTTGATAAAGTTTTGCGGGCATAACCACAAATGCCCCAGCACATCTGGGCCTGAGCCACCCCAAACTCCCCGGCTAGACCCCTCCTCTACATTTCTGACCCTTTGGGGAGCCCTGGAGGCTTCAGCACAGGCTCTACCACCACGCCCTCTGGCCGGGACCCCAGGGTGCAGGGCAGACGGGCATCACGGATGACCTCGCGGACAGTGGCCCGGAAAGTCTTGCTGACAAAGCAATAGAGGCCAAAGTTGACTGCTGTGTTGAGCATGGCCGCCATGTTGGCCACATCCAAGGCCAGGTGGACCCTCCAGTCCCGGTAGACAGGGGCCACGTACAGGTGGTAGAGCATGACAAAGATCCGGGGTGCCCAAAGGAGGGCAAAGAGCGTGGTGACACCCAGGAGGATGGCTGTGCTCTTGCCCACCCGGGGCCGCAGCCCACTCTGGCCCCTCCTCCGCAGTTGGCAGATGATGGCCGAGTTGGCCACCAGGAAAACACCACAAGGGATGAAATAGACGGTGAGGCAGTGAGCCCATTTGAGGACCTCGTCCAGCGTGCTTGGGGGGTCCGCATCCCTCCACACATCCAGCCACCAGTAAAAAGGGATGCCAGTCAGCAGGGCAGCACCGAGGACAATGGCGATGGCCCGGCGGGTCCGGCCTAGGGATGAGGCGGCCCGATGGTGCAGGGGGTGGCACACGGCACTGTACCGGTCGACCGTGAGCAGGACGGCGATCCAGACTGAGGCATGGTTGGCGGCGAACTGTAGGATATTAGCCGTGCGCACCACAGCCTGGGGCACCTCTCGGGCCAGCACAGCTCCCTGCAGGAGGAAGCCCACGAACACGATGACCACCTGGGTGACGACATCCGAGGCCGTGAGTGCCAGGAGGTAGTAGTAGGAGGACTTCCTGGTCCGGGCGGCGAGGCGGGCCAGGGCCACTGTGGTCAGGAGGTTGACTGATGGCCGCCGAGGTCACGGAGGGGAAAGGTCAGAGGCATTAGAAGGGCTGCTCAGACTTTGCTTTCCAAGGTGTCATCATAGTCCCTCCCCACCTGCTTGTGCTGGAGGCCGTGCTGGCTCCTCTATTCCTCTTTCCAGACCCTTCTTAAAACCCCCTTTGTCAGGAAGGCTAGCTAGATCAGCCCTGCCCTGTCGATCCACACACGCAGGTCACTGACTTCACCCTGGGGCGAAGCCTCTGCCTGACACACAGGTAGGCTCATTCGGCAGGTGTCCTCAGCAGCCACCTGTCCCTGTGGCATTCCCTTCTCGGTCCTTTTCAAGTGTCCCATGTCCTCCATGGTGGAGGCTCCCCTGGCAACCGGCAGGGGTGGGTAATTCCCCAAGGCCAAGACCACCTATCCTTTCCTGCGTCCACACCCCCACCCCCACCCCCAGCTCTGCTCTCTGAGGCAGTGGACGGCCCAGGAAGCTTTGGGCTGAGCTGAGGGCAGTCCTGCGTAAACGTAGCCATCCTAGGACAGTGCCCAGTGCCCACTGCTGGGGGTAGAAGGGGCTGTCTGCTTTGGTGAAACCTTGGGTTTAGCTCTTGAGCACCCCAAATCCTAGCCCCTCACTTTACTCCTCACTATGCTTTGCTCCCCAGTGACCCAGATCACTCCCATAAAGGCAAGGGGAGCCCTGGGGTCTATGATCCTGGGTCTCAGGGGCCAGCACAGAGGATTGGCACCCATCGAAAGAGGACCCCACTTTCTGGCCCAGCCCAAGACCCCAGCCCCCAGCTCTCCACTCACCAGGCAGCCCCAGGCCCAGCAGGATGCTGTAGTAGATGACGGGGATGACACCAGCCACGCACGGGGACATCTCTTGGATCCCTGGCCAATGGCTTTCAAGCTCCTGGCTCAGCCCACTGCCATTGGGTGTGGGTAGCAGGGTCGCTCGTGGCTGGCCATCTGGGAAGGGTGGAGGGGCGGGCTTAGAGCGTTAGGTCTCTTTCCAGCCTGGCTCGGCAGCAGCTCCACCTTGGCCCCTGACCCCGAGGTCCTTATTCATCCCCGCTCTGTGCAGACCCGCTGCTCAGACCCAGCCAAATGGCAATCGCTATTGCCAAGCCCACGCCGCCCCACCCCACCCCACCCCCTCAGTGGCTGGCTCCCCCATGGATGGGAAGAAGTCCTCAGTGGCAGCGTTTCTTGATAGAGACCAGTTCGCAATTGCATTGCTCCCAGGGGATCTTCAGCCTGGAAAGCAGGGCTCCGAAACAGGCTGCACTGCACGGTCGCGAGCAGGTGTTGGTGAGGAGTGGGGGTGGGCGCTTGTGAAAATGCAGGCTCCTGAGCCTCCCTCCAGGCAGTCTGAGTCAGAGGGTCATTCCATGTGTTTGTGTGTGTGTGTGTGTGTGTGTGTGTGTGTGTGTGTGTGTGAGGAGATCAGCCCTGTGCTAACATCAGCCAATCCTCCTCTTTTTTTGCTGAGGAAGACTGGCTCTGGGCTAACATCTGTGCCCGTCTTCCTCCACTTTATATGGGACGCCGCCACGGTATGGCTTGTTAAGCAGCGCGTCGGTGTGCGCCCGGGATCCGAACCGGCGAACCCCGGGCCGCGGCAGCGGAGACCACGCACTTAACTGCTTGTGCCACCGGGCCGGACCCAAGAGGGTCATTCCAGAGGGTCTGGAGAGGGGCTTGAGCAGCTGTGCTCTTAATAAGCGTCCGGGTGATCCTGACCCACGGTGACTGTCAGCTGTGCCCCGCGTTACTAACACAGCTCTGTCAGCAGAGACGTTACTAGGGTCCCCACGTCTCTAAGCTGAAGAGCATCCCTATTTATAGGTTAGCACTACTGGAGCTGAATGGTCCTGTTTTCAGACGGGGAAACTGAGTCCAGAGGGGTAAGGTGACCTGCCCGTGGTCACACAGCTGGCTGGTGGATGGTCTGGGAAGAGGGCCAGCCACATGCTCTGTGCCTGCCCCACACAGACCACACTGTAGGTCTTCAGGTTTTACCTTCCAGCCTTGGGTTTCCTGTGGCAGCTCCACCCCCAACCCCAGCCCACAGCTTCTTCACCCTCGGCTCCCAGCTCTCCACCCGGCCTCCAGATTCCTGACCTGTCCTGCCACCGTACTCCCCCTCGCCCCCAACCAGTTCTGGATACTTTACCTGTCTCTCCTCCCTCAAGTCTCATGTTCCTGAGTCCTGAGTCCTGGGTCACCTTGTGGCCTTTTCTGGGGGTCCCTGCAGCTCCTTCCCAGCATCGCCGGCTGCCTCCACCCCTACCCGGCTCTCCACGCGGTTGTCTGCCCCACGGTTCTTCCAGAGGCACTGAGCCGGCAGAGCAGGGAGGCGGGGTGGTGGGGAGGAGGGAGGAGGAGGAGGAGGGAGGAGGAGGAGGAAGGGGTGGGGCCAAGGCTCAGGGGAATGAGTCTAGAGGGTAGACGCGGCCTGGAGCAAAGCAGGATCCTCGAGGTGCACAGGCAGGGAAGGGGCCTTGGGGAGGGGCAGTGAGGTGAAGAGGCAGGATCGGGGCTCTGGAGAGGCTGCCTCCTGTCCTGGGTACTCTGGGAACTGGCCTGGGCTCAGCCGGGGCGATCACACCCTGGGGGCGAGGACTTTGAGGAAAGGCGGAAGGATTCGGGGAGCTGACTCTACGGGCATCAAAGACAGGAGGGCACATCTGCAAGGAGGGCTGGGGGAAATGAGTGCCAGGCAGGGAGAGGAGAGCCGGCAGTGGACAGGGCCCAGATCTGGAGAGAGGCCTCCTGGGCCAGGTTGGAAGGAGTCGGGCCTACAGCAGCAGAGGACGGTGGGACCAGGAGGAGGCTACCTGAGGGGCTCCTGGCCTGGAAGGAGGGCAGAAAGCTGTGCGCACTGGTGGTGGTGACCACCGGGAGAGGCTTACCCAGCTGCCAGCAGCGCTGGGAAACCAAGACCCAGCGGTTCCCCGCAAGCTGCTGTTTTCCTGGCCCTGGTGAAATGGACCATCTCTCCAGAAATATCAGTCACTGGCAAATAAACACCAGCCGGTGCGGCGAGCAGTCTGGAGAGGCTGGAATCTGCGCCCGACTGGCTGGCCCCCTCCCCCAGCGGGGAAGAGTGACCAGCGCAGCCCACAGGGGGCCCCCAGACGGCGTGTGACATGACTCCGGAGGAGAGTTGAGGCCCAGCCTAGAATTGCTTTCTACCCTTGCCCTCTGGGAATGTAGCAGAGCCACTTCCAAGCTCCCTATGTTAGATCCCATCCCTGGGGCCCAGCGACCTCAACACCCACCCCAACCCCGGCCCTAGGCACTCACAGCCCGGCCTTGCTGCTCCCTGCTGGCCAGCCCTGACCCTGAAGGCCTCCGAGAGTCCACTGGCTTTGGCCAGATCCCCTGGGTGGCACAGTGGGACCAGAGCAGGCACTACTTGCTCAGGTCCCCAGGCAGAGTGTCTGGGACCCCAGCCCCAGAGAGTGCAAGTAGCACAGGTGAGTCCCCAGGCCACCATCTCCCTGCACCTCGAGGCTGTGGGTGAGCAAGGAGCTGCTTACAGTGGAGCTGAAAAGGCCACGTGTGAGGGCTCCACCGACATTTACTGTGCACTGAGTCTGTCTCTACACTTGTCACCCTCATGGCAGTCCCACAAGCTAACTCTGGTTACCTCCATTTCTCACAAGAGGGGACTGAGGCTCAGAGAAGTTCAGCATTCAGGCGGAGGCCACAGAGCTAGTATGTGGTAGCTGGAATTTGAACTCAGGTTTGTTCTTCCCCCAGAGCTGTTCACTTGTCACTCCTTCGCACAACCTTCTTTGGAAGAACAGGAGCGCAGGCAGGGAGAGGCCACTGTGAGCTCAGGCTTTACGAAGGAGGGAGATGTGGATCAGCTCTCAGATGGGGAAGGGCATTCCAGTTGGGGGAACAGCATGATGGAGGGTGCTGAGGCAGGAAAGTGGAGGTGCCGCCATGGTGGGACAGCCTGACTGCAGGAGAAGGTTTCAAAAGCGTGTGAGTTACTTCAGGGAAAGATTCCTTCTTGGTTATTATTAGCGTGCCCTCCTGAGTACACGGGGCTGGGAACCTAAACTATGGTCCCCTGTTCCCCAATCTAAGTGTTGGAGGGCACCCCAGCTCAGGAAGACAGATGTTACAGACGTTAAGGCAGGCTGTGGTCGGGGCAGGGCCTGGTCTGGGGGCCAGCCCTCCAAGGTGAGTATTACGGTGGTCCAGCATCTGATCACCCACTCTGCAGGTTCAGAAACTCCTCAGGCTGCCCCAAGCTGGCGAGAGCTTTCAGTTGCTTTTACTACTGCCTACCAGGGATCAGTTATGACACTGAAATAGCTTCCCAGAAAAGACAGCATGGGGTTGTGGAAAGAAGAGTGGAGCAGAAAAGCGCCACTTGAATCCTGGCTCTGCCCATCGTGGTTGTGAGCCCTCAGACAAGTCACTCAGGTTATAAAAACTCTCATCTCCAGCAGGAAGTAACACTCCTCTCGGGGAATTGCTCTTGTCTGTGAGCTCATCAGACTTGCTCTCAAGGAACTGTGGAGCTTCCAGATCCACGGGGCAAATAAAACGGAGTGTAGCAGATCCTCTGTCTCAAAGACTGTGCAGGGCGAATGCCCTCTTTCCTCTCTCCCGCTCCAAGACTCTCACACACACGCATCCACATCTGTGCACGTATGCACACCACACACACATGCATACGCGTCCATGCACCCCACACACACCACACACACATGCATACATGTCCATGCGCACACACACACATACACGTCCATGCACGCACACACATGTATACATGTCCACGCACACACACATCCATGAACACACACATCACACAATGCATACACATCCATGCACACACACACACCACACACATGCATACACATCCGTGCACACACACACGCGCATATACTTCAGCAACCCTCAGACTGAGAAAATGAGAACCGAGAATGCCTATTTTTGGAAAGCCAGTTTCTAAATCATTAGAGGAGGGCCGGCCCCATGGCTTATCGGTTAAGTACGCGCGCTCTACTACTGGCGGCCCGGGTTCGGATCCCGGGCAGGCACCGATGCACCACTTCTCCAGCCATGCTGAGGCTGCGTCCCACATACAGCAACTAGAAGGATGTGCAACTATGACATACAACTATCTACCAGGGCTTTGGGGGAAAAAAAGGAGGATTGGCAATAGATGTTAGCTCAGAGCGGGTCTTCCTCAGCAAAAAGAGAAGGATTAGCACAGATGTTAGCTCAGGGCTGATCTTCCTCACAAATAAATAAATAAATAAATAAATCATTAGAGGAGGTTCAGGGATAACAGAAATTGGAAACAGTAGGAGGTGGGGCCTCTCAGAGATGGGGAGTCAGAGGTGACCCTCCTGGGTCTTCTTGGTAACCTGGGGCCTCCCCGATCCCTGCACACTTGAAATGCCACCCACCTAACTCTAGTGGGTAGATCTTAGCTTGGGGCGGACATAACAATTGTTCAGGAAGCTTAGAAAATACAGGTGCCCTGGTTTCTAGGTGGAGCATGGAAGATTCCAATGCAGGTGGGCTACACTTCTGGCAAGACTGAGGCAGAGCCTCAAGGAGGCTGGAGTTAAGAAGAATGTATACTGAAAGACTGTTTTCTGAGTAGTGGGTCTCTCATTATCATCTCTTTATCATCAATAATATTCTTATTGAAAAGCATTATGCACGAAAGCCACGATGCCCTCAGAGGCCCAGATCCACCCCCACCTTCACACTGAGGCTCTGTCTTGCTGGGCTGGGCTGGGGCCGTGGTGTAGCCCATGGAAAGGGCAGACAGGCAGCCTGTGGGCAAGAGATGGTGGATCTGGACAAGGGGAGCCAGGCGTGAAGGGCAGGGCAGCCGGGAGGGGTTTCCGCTGGGCTGGACAGCTTTATCTTTGCCAGCCCGGACGAGGCAGGTGCCAGACACAATTCCTGCTTTCTCTGTGGCTCCAGAGAGGGGGTGGAGCTGTTGGGTCTCTCTGTGCCAGCCGGGGGCAGAAATCAATGCATCGAGCTGGGCTTTGGGATCCAAAGAGCAAGGGAGGGCAGGATCTGACCCATCCTCGTCAAGGACTTAGCCTCTGGAGAAACTCTGAGCTGGCTCTATTAGTTCATCAACCTCAAAGAAGTCCCTCCCATGAAGATCTGGGCCAGGCCCCATTCACTCCCCAGAAAAGTGAGGCCTCAACGGCACCCACCCACACCCCTACTCCTCCCGGGCCCTAGACCCCACGCTCCTCTCTCTGCTCCCTTGTTTTTATTTTTTATTTTTATTTTTTTATTTTATTTTTTTTGTGAGGAGATCAGCCCTGTGCTAACATCCGCCAATCCTCCTCTTTTTTTTTTTTGCTGAGGAAGACGGCCCTGGGCTAACATCTGTGCCCATCTTCCTCCACTTTATATGGGACAACATCTGTGCCCATCTTCCTCCACTTTATACGGGACGCCGCCACAGCATGGCTTGCCAAGCAGTGCATCGGTGAGCGCCCGGGATCCGAACCAGCGAACCCCGGGCCGCTGCAGCGGAGCGCGCGCACTTAACCGCTTGCGCCACCGGGCCGGCCCCTCTGCTCCCTTGTTTTTAGAAGAGCACTCCTCTGCACTACTCATCGAGACTGTGACCTAGCTCTCTGCCTCAGTTTCTCTTACTGTCAAGGTCGGGTTCTAGGTCTGTTGTGTGTCTCCTTGGAACTCTGGGAAGGGAAAAATTACAGTAGGAATTTGGACAGAAGCAGTAAAAGAAGCCTTCCAAGGAGGAACCTAGAGACCTGAGGCCACTTGGGAAGGTGAATTAAAGGAAGGAAGTGACGAGGCAGACAGGTGCCCACCTCAGCATCTCCAGTCCCATGCCCAGATTTGGGCTGGCTGGGCAGGGGGTGGGCTGCCTGTCGAGGGCCAGCCTCCTGCACGGTGGCCAGCCCTGCTCTGGGCAGGGGTGCTCCCGTGCAGTTGAGCACGAGGGAGAGTGCATCTGCTCTATGCCCAGCCCTGCCATCTTGGCTCACCTTGACCCTAGGGGCGCAATGGTGACAGTCCTCATGGAGTCTCCCTAAAGGCCTGTCACCCTCCCCAGAGCAGGCCAAGAACATTCTTCAACAAAGAACATGAAAATGATACCAGTTACCCCGTGGGCCCCTATCTGAGACCCTTGCCGTCCTCACTGGAGAGCCAGTCTACCCCAAAATGGGAGGGAGGAGGGGTGGGAGCCTGAGCCGCCTCTTCCCTCTCCTCTTCCAGGCCCTTCCTTTGCAGCCAGCTCACCATGGCACTCCAGCCAAGATGCTGCCAAGTGTGCTCTGTGCCAGGCTAGAGGCTGCGCCTGGGGATTGGGGGAGGGGGCTGGAGATCCTCTGGGCCGGCTGCTGCCAGGGGTCCTGGAGCCCCTTGCCTGCCCTTTGGAGAACCTAAAACTTCCCAGGAGAGGAATGACTAGCACTGCTGGGTGGTAGGCAATGTGGGGGAGGGTGCCGGATCTGTCCCCCTCAGGGGCCCTCGGGCAGCACAATAGCCCCTGGGGCTGCCACTCTCTGGCTTAAGTGGTTGCCTGGGCAACAGCTGGGGCCAGCTTCCACCAATCCATGGCAGAGGCTTGGTGGGGGGAGGGAGGCCGGTTGGGAAGGGGGGTGCTGTCCCCTTGCTGGATCCTATATAAGGAGGAGGGATGTGAGCGGAGTGGTCTGGGCTTCACTGTCCCTCCAGCAGACTCGGAGGTGGGGCACAAAGATGCTTAGGCTGGGCTATGCCAAGCCTGGGTCCTGGGGCAGCTTCTGGGCCATCCTGACCTTGGTGGGCCTGGCCACTCGTGCAGGTGAGTGGGCAGTGGGCAGGGTGGGGGGCAGGGAAGAGGGGCAGGACTTTCCAGCCCTAGCTACACTTGGCTGGGAGGACGCGGTGTCCAGCCGGCCAAGACAGAGTTGATTGGATCACAACGGCTCTGTGGACACTTCTCCCGGAAAGGAGAAGGGCAGCCTGCCTCAGAGAGGAGGAGGGGCTGGGCCGGCAGGCAGGGGTCTTAACGACAGGAAGATCCTTCCACTGTCCATTGTCCTAGGCAGCTAGGCCCAGGCAGAGGCCGAGGGGCGCCATCAGCATTCAGGTCCTTCAAAGTGACAGCTTGGGGAGGCGGAGCTGAGAAAGTGACCACCTGCTCCTCTCTCGCCCTGCCTTTCTCCCTCTGTCTCCCTCTCTCTTACATGCAGATGCTCTGCTCTCGTGTGAGTCTTCTCTCCAAAAGTCCACACATGCCACAGGCCTGTGTGTGTGTGTGTGTGTGTGTGTGTGTGTGTGTGTGCGTGTGTTGGGGCGGGTGCCCATCTGCCGCTGTCGGACGCCCGCCTTGCCTCCGTCCGTGAAGCTCCTTACACCGTTCTCAGCTTGGGGAAGCTGCTGGCAGCATTATCTGTCACTGAGTTTCCTGTAACTGAGTGCATGTCCCCATCTGACCCTCATGGCGTCCCTGGAAACATGAGAGAAGGACCCAGCATGGCCAGTCTGGAAGGGGGATGCCCGCCTTAACACGCAGTTACCGCAGGAGTCCCATTCCAGCACCAGCTCGCCCTCTGTACTTTCTCTGGTCCCCCACAGGCCGCCCGATGAGAGTGGACTTCTGTCCCACAGATCGGGACTCAAGAGGGCAGCTGGGCCTGGAAACAGCTTCCCTTCCATGCCTGCAGCCTTGGCTTATGCTCCACCCCTCTCTCCTGCCATTCAGTGCTCCAGCCCCCAGTCGTCCCTCCGCTCCCAGCGCGCCAAGCCCATCCTCTTCAGCCTTTGCAGGGCTGGTTCTCCACCTGGACACTCGTCCTCCGGCTGGTTCCTTGTCATTTCTTCTGGGAGCCTGTCCCTGGCTCCTGCACCTAGAGTAGCCCCCACCCCCATTACTCTCACCTCCCTGATTTAGCACAATCTAAAACGAGAGTGCTTATTTGTGTACTTAATGTGTACTTTTAGGAGCACAAAGACCTGGCTTGTTTTGTTCACTGCCATATTCCGAGCTCCTGGGAGAGTGTCTGGCAGGCAGTAGGTGCTCAATAAGCATCTGTTAGTGAATGCACTGCTTCTGACAACTCCTCCGAGGGCTTCAGGAAGTGAGGGGTGGGGACCAAGAGGTTCCTTAACCCTTGCCTGAGTGTCTGGCACCATGGAGACCAGTTCTGGGCATTTGGTCCCACACTGGTTCATAACCTCTCCCTGCCAGGAATCCACCCCCCTTCCAAGAGCATCCTCTCAGGGTCCGCTCAGAGTCAGGTTCACGACCTTCCCCATCGGGATGTGCTTGTGTGCAAGCACATACATCCATGCACTTTGTGGGCACAAACAGGTACGCACACAGCCTCCCCAGGCCCACCTGCCCTCTGCCCACACCCAGGCACACACGTCTCCAGCTGGTCCCTCTGTGCCCCTAGATCGCGGCCCTGAACCTGGGTGCCTTTTCAAGCTGTGCTGTGTTCCTGCTGCAGCCCAGAAAGCTGACGTTGGCGGGGAGGCAGCGGGCACCTCCATCAACCACTCCCAGATGCTGCTCCAACGCCTGCAGGAGCTGCTGAGGCAGGGCAATGCCAGCGACGTGGTGCTGCGGGTGCAGGCGGCGGGCACAGACGAGGTCCGAGTCTTCCACACCCACCGCCTGCTGCTGGGACTGCACAGTGAGCTGCTCCGGGAGCTGCTGAGTAACCAGAGTGAGGTCGTGCTGCAGGAGCCCAGGGACTGCGCCGCTGTCTTTGACAAGTTCATCAGGTGGGGAGGGGAAGGACTGGGGGGGAGCTTCATCTCTTCCCAAGCCCCTGGCTCCTCCACTCAGGCTCAGGGAAGCCCCTGCCCCTTAGAGGGCCTTCTGTCCACTCCCTGGACGTCATTAGGATGACGATGCCACCACCTCCCTCATCCCTTCTCCCACTGCCCTCTTGCAAAATACAGTGCAACTGCCCTGCCCTTGCCTGTAAGCTCCTTATGGTTTGATGTCAGTTACCAGATGCTCTCAGCGCCATTCCAAACCTGGCCAGGAGAGCTTTCAAAAACTAGATTCCTGGGCCCCACTCTGGATTGTCAATTTCAGGTCTGGGGCTGGGCCCAGCAGTTGTTTTTTACTTTAAAGCCTCCATGTGGTTTTGGTATCTGGCCAGGTTTTGAACCACAGGGCTAAGGAGCAGAAAAAGTTAGCCAGCCTTCCCCCCAACCCTGACCTCCTCCTTCTTGCCAATCGCTGCATAGGGGGCACCATTCAAACTGTAGTCTGAGAAAGTAACCCTGTTTTAATGGCTTAGACAAGATGGTTGCAGAATTTCCAGTCATCACTTCCAAGTTCCAAGCAACAGAAAGAGGAATAACACAGAAGGGCAAAAGGGTTCGCCCTACCCCAGTGAGTCCTATTTAACCATCCTTCCCCCATTCCATACCTGCCTCTGCTGACATCTCATTGGCTAGATGTAGTCCCATGGCCACACGCACTATAAGGGAGCCTTGGAAACATCTTTTACTCCCAGAGGCAAACATGTGGCAGAAATCCAGGAGAAAGGGGGATCTGGGTCTTGGGGTAGGTATCCGGCAGTTGTGGCCATAACCCCATTGAGCATGTACCTTTAGGGACTGGCAGGAAGGGTGAGCAGAGGGACAACAGCAGACGGAGACAGGGAGCGAGTGAGCCAGAGTGATAACGGATACTGAGAGGGGATGACAGTGAGAAAGATGAGACTGCAAGAAGAGGGGAGGGGAGAACGGGGTTAACCTGTGTGGACCGCCTACTTTGTGGCAAGGACCGCTCATTCTCCTCCAGTTGTCACAATAACCCTGTTACTGCCCCTTTCCTGCATGATCAGAGTAAGGTTGAGTGAAGTTGAACGACTTGCCCACTCTCATAGCAAGCAGGTGGTGGGACATGGACCCGAAGTGAGACCGTAAACGGCACAACGGCAGGAGCCACAACTGTCTTGTTCCAGCACAGAGCTCGGCACCCAGCGGATGCTGAATAAATACACGCTATTTCCGTTCCCACGAGAGCGGGAAAGAGGCTGTGAAGTAGCACGGGCGTAGGAGGGTCCTAGAGAGGAAAAGCCAGGAAGCCTCAGGGCCCATCACTCTGTGCCCCTGACCACGAAGCTCTCCACCCAAGGCTGGGTCCCCTCTGGACTCGGAAAGCGGAAAGCGGCTCTGGGTGGGGGCCGGTGGGTGTGTCTGGTGCCGTAGCTCCGCCTGACCCTGCCGCACCTCTGCGCCCCTCCCGCAGGTACCTCTACTGCGGCGAGCTGACCGTGCTGCTGGCCCAGGCCATCCCGCTGCACAGGCTGGCCACCAAGTACGGGGTGGCCTCCCTGCAGCGGGGCGTGGCCGACTACATGCGCGCGCTCCTGGCGGGCGGCGGCGCGGGCCCGGCCGTGGGCTGGTACCACTACGCGGTGAGCACCGGCGACGAGGCCCTGCGCGAGAGCTGCCTGCAGTTCCTGGCCTGGAACCTGTCGGCCGTGGCGGGGAGCGCCGAGTGGGGCGCCGTGAGCCCCGAGCTGCTGGCGCAGCTCCTGCCGCGCTCGGACCTGGTACTGCAGGATGAGCTGGAGCTGTTCCACGCGCTGGAGGCGTGGCTGGGGCGCGCGAGGCCACCCGCCGCAGTGGCCGAGCGGGCGCTGCGCGCCATCCGCTACCCCATGATCCCGCCGGCGCAGCTGTTCCAGCTGCAGGCGCGCTCGGCCGCCCTGGCGCGCCACGGCGAGGCGGTGGCCGACCTCCTGTTGCAGGCCTACCAGTTCCACGCCGCCTCGCCGCTGCACTACGCCAAGTTCTTCGACCTCAACGGCAGCGCGTTCCTGCCCCGCAACTACCTCGCGCCCGCCTGGGGCGCCCCATGGGTCATCAACAACCCGGCCCGCGACGACCGCAGCACCAGCTTCCAGACGCAGCTGGGCCCGAGCGGCCACGACTCGGGTCGCCGGGTCACCTGGAACGTGCTCTTCTCGCCGCGCTGGCTGCCCGTCAGCCTGCGGCCCGTCTACGCGGACGCCGCCGGCACCGCGCTGCCCGCCGCGCGCCCCGAGGACGGCCGGCCGCGGCTCGTGGTCACGCCGGCCAGCAGCGGCGGCGACGCGGCGGGCGTGAGCTTCCAGAAGACGGTGCTGGTGGGGGCGCGCCAGCACGGCCGCCTGCTGGTCCGCCACGCCTACAGCTTCCACCAGAGCAGCGAGGAGGCGGGCGACTTCCTGGCGCACGCAGACCTGCAGCGGCGCAACTCTGAGTACCTGGTGGAGAACGCCCTGCACCTCCACCTAATCGTCAAGCCCGTCTACCACACCCTCATCCGGACCCCCAAGTAGCCAAGCGGGGCCGGGGTGGGGAGCTCGGCGTCCCGGACGCCTCTGGATTGGGGAATAAAGGCCTGGCATAGATGGCCCAGAGGGACTGGGAGGGGCGCGGCACGTGGAGGTGCCTACAGTGGCCCCCGGGGTAGCCATGCGCTGGCAACGTCGGAGCTGGGTGGAGTCCAGGTGAGGGGAGATGTCTGGTTTCAGGAGCTGATTTCACGGTTGACTTGAAGGCAACGCTCTTGGTTGAATAAACCGATGCTCAGAGAGGCGAGGGGATGATTGAACCACCCAATCCGGGGGGAAAAATCAGCCCAAGGAGGGTCCCACAGGTCTAGGGGCTCTCCGTCTTTCATTAGCTTTTCCCCCAAGGACCCCCACCCCCACACGGAACGGGGCAGGTAAGAGCATCTAATGGTCAGGGCTACCCTCAGCCTAGTAAGCCTGGGGACCCCAGTACCAGGGGTTTTCTCACCTTGAAGCTGAGGGGCTTAGCTGGGCAGTTTCTGAGCCCCGACTTCCAAGGGGTAACCACCTCACTTGGGCTGTGAGGCTTTCTGCCGTCTGGGCCACCCCAAGTCTCTGACCTCTCCTGGAGGGGTCCTGGGCAGTGTGATGCGGCATGAATGGACCTCGGTAGCCCCACCCTTCCTGGGGAGGGGCCTCAGGGTCTAGAGACAACCACCGTTCCCCTAGGTGTTTGTAGGGTGGTGCTGTGCAACTGGCCAGAGGGAGATGGGGTGTGGGGGGAGGAAGGGGGAAGGGTGTTGGGTTGAATCTTCAGGGGGACCCCACATTCCAGACAAGGTCTAGTTTCCAACACAACTGTCAAGACCCAAATGGGATTTTATTGTTAAAAAGGAGGGGGAAAAAGCCACTACTAAGTAACAAAACTAGATTCCCTCCCCCATCCCAACCCTGTTGGCCCTTCCCAACCATCCCAGATGCCCTTGCCCCAGGGGTGGACCCAGGAGCCCTCTCCCACTGACAACTCCCCCCATTCCGAAGCCCAGTCTGGCCACAGGTCTGTGCAGGGTTTTGGCAACAGGGTTCTGTCCAGGGCTGGGAGGCCAGGGAGCCCTGGCATCCTGGCCGTGCCTCCTGGGCTCACCTCCCTTGCCCCATGGCACTGCAAGCATGGAAGGGTGGGGCAGGCACCCTCACAATTCCTGGGGCTCAGGAGCCCTGGCCTTCTGAGATCCTGAGCTCCTGCTCCCAGGTCACCCCCATCTGCCCAGCCTCCATCCCCCATTTCCTGCTACACCTCATTCAGTCTTGAGGCAGGAGGGCCAGTTCCAGGCAGGCCCCTCAGTTATGCCGGAGGGGTCCATCTTTGCCACGGGTACTTGTGCCATGGGGCAGGCGGGGCTCACGGGTAGCCCGCTGGGAGACACCAGCTGGGTTGGAGGGAATAGCGAGAGGTGAGGAGTCCCCAGGGCCTGCAGCAGGGGAAGGGCCAGGAGCGGGGGTTTAGGAATGCCTCCCCATCCCCTCTCTGATCACCCAGTGGCCTTGAACTCCCTAAGGGCACAACCCTAAGATGCCAGTCTCCCGAATATTCTTTGAGAGCCCTGTTTCTAGCAAGGAGCAGCCATAGGAGCAGGGAGCTCAACATGCCTCCTCCCTGGGCTGGCTAAGGGTTGGCCATCTCCATTCCCTCCCTTGCTGGTGCTGACCTGTGTTCTGGCTTGGAGGGAGTTTGACTTTGGCCAAAGGCAGTGTGACCTTTCCTAGATGCCGAATACCAGGGGCTGGGTGCTCACACACTGGCATCCTGTGACTGGAGATGCTCTCCATGGGACGGGGCCCCAGGAGGTGTGTCTTGGGACGGGAGAGCTGTGTTGGTTGGAAACAGTGAGGTGAGACGGCAGCATGGGGATCTGCTGCAGGGATCTGCCCCAGCTATGATGTCAGCCCGGGGGATAGAGGCATGGAGGGTGGTGCAGGGCTGGTGCAGGTGCCCTGGGACCTCTGGAGGAACCCAGCCCTCAGGCCCCCACCCACAACAAAGGGGCCCAGACACCCCGCCTCCTGCCCCTGGCCTCACCCCTTGCCCTGTGACCTCAAAGGACCGGGACCTCCGCTTCCTCCTCTTCGCCTCCAGCGACTCCTCCCGTTTCTTGCCCAGGCTTTTCTTCTGGCCATGCAGCCAGGGCCCAGGGCCGTTGCCACGATGCCCGGCTGCCTGTGATGAGGCCTCGCCTGTGCTGCTGGACAGGTTGTCCTCGCTGGCAGCGTGCTGCAGCGTGGGGCTGGGCGGCCGCTTGCAGGCCAGCTGGCCGGGGGGCCGAGAATCGTCAGCCTCACTCAGCGAGTGCAGGGACAGGTTGCTGCGCTCTGTCGCAGGAGCCAGCAGGTGGTGTCCCTCGACGCCCAGGGCCCGTGAGCGCCGCCGGGCAGCCTTCACGGAGATGCACTTGGTGCTTGTCAGGATCTCCTTCCTCTCTGCAGTGGGACGGTGGGAGCATCCAACCCGGGGTCAAGGTCACAGATCCCTCCCCTTCCTGCACCCCCAATACCCTCCTCTGCCAAGGCAGAAATGAGTAGGAGCCAGATGCCTGGGTTTCTATCCCAGCACCCCCACTTGCTTGCTGTTTAAGAAACCTGGGGCAAGTTTCTGAGCCTCACTTTCATCTGTAAACTGGGGGTGGTAAAACTAACCCCATAGGGTTACTGTGAGGCTAACTGAGATAATGGGCTTAGCCTATGGCCAGGGGACTGGGATTTGGTCCATATCTGCTATTACAATTATTACTGAGTGGAAGGGGTGACATGATCCTAAGTGCCATGTTTCTCCCATTCTGATTTCTGATTGTGCCCCAGCTCTCTGTGTGTCGTTGAGCAGGTGGTTAATTCTCTCTGGGCGTTGGTGCTTCCCTTTATAGAATGGGTAGCACCCCATGCATGGGTGTGTTCAGCAGTGCAGAGGGCAGGAAGGGGCTTTGGGCTGGGTGATCTGAGCAGTTTAGACGATGCCAGGCTCAGGCTCACAGCGCAGGCAGGGGGCATACCTTTGTGGGACAAGGGGATCTCTGACAGATTCTCGCTGCTGTCGGGGGAAGAGTCGATCCGGCTGCTCAGGCTGACCCGGCCGTCCTGGTTGGGGGCCTGTGGGACGAGGTGGTTGGGAAGAGAAAGGCATTGAACACAGCAGGGACCCCATGCCCCACTCAGCAGAGACAGTGGGGCCTGAGGGGTGGTTGCTGTTTTGGAAAGGCTCCATCCCAACCACTGGGTGTCTACCCCTGTGCTCCCACCCCCAGCAGTGGAGCCTGTGGGGCCAGTGGGTGCTCAGAGCTCACCTCCTGGGTCACCAGGCTGCCGATCTGGATGGGGGGAGGGGTGGGCACAGAGGAGCTCTTCACCTGCCAGGCCCGGGGACTGGCCTTGAACACGAGGTTGGCTTCACTGAGGTAGGCAGAGGAGGATGGGAGGTTGTAGACCGGGTTGGTCCCACTGAGGTCCCACCCCCACCCCAGGGGACAGCTGTTTGCACGAAGGGAGAGAGAACCCAGGAGTCCTGGCTCCAGACCTGTGCCACCTCCTCCCTTTCGTTCCTGCTCCATCTTCCCCAGTTAGCCCTAATCTGGGTTGCCATCCCTGGGTCACGGCACAGCGTGTGGGGACTCAGGCAGCAGGACTGGCTGGAAGGGATTCCTGGTCTCACCTCTCCATGCTGAGGGGAGGGAGGATGCTGTTCTGCAGGCGTGGGGCTTCGGAGCTCTGCATCTTCACACTCTCCGGGTCAGACTCCGGGGTCAGTGTGGTTCCTGCTGGGGTAATTTTGGGCAAGGAGCTGTCCTGGGGAGGGGAGGCAGGGGGTGGGGAAGTCAGTCAGAAGACTTGGTTCTGGACCAGCTAACAGCACAGGGTGACAAAAGGTACACAAGGTGACCAGGGCTGTAATGTGTGCTGGGAGGTTTGTGTTCTAGGTTGCAAGGGGTAAACTGTGCTCTCCTAGGCATCTCCAGTGGCCCTGCCTGATGGCCTTGTCTCCTGGGAGGGCATCTGGGGCCATTTGTGATATCTCAGATAGCCAACCCTGATCCTCAGACTCTGGGTGGGGACCAGTGCCAGAGCAGAATGCCCTGGGAGGGAACCCTACTCAGGCTTGGCAAGGCTTTGGGTGGGGTAAGAAGGAAAGGGAGTCACCTCTCTGGGGTGCCAGCCAGCCTGGTCCCATCCCCATCCCGGCTACCTGCAGGCATTGCCTTAGGCATCAGCCCCTCCCACAGCACATGTGCGAATGCCCATGTCCAGGCATGCTCAGGTTCCCACCTGCAGGGCCCTAGAGGCCACCCGGTCCATGATGGTGGCCCGCTCCAGGCTGCCCTCCTCCAGCTCCCGCAGGTACACTTCGTACAGCTCCTCCAGGTGCTGGGGGACGGCCAGGTTGTAGTCTGCCGGGGGAGAGGCGGGGCTCAGCGCGTGCCCTCGGACCCTCCGCTGGTCCCTGGGGCTCGGATGCGCGAGGCGAGGGCCCTACCGTCGATGATCTGCCGCTGGACCTGGATGATCTCGTCGCAGAGGTTGCGGTGCTGCTCCAGGCGGCGCACGGCCTCGCGGCGGTGGCGGAGCGCGCCGTCCCGGAGCAGGGCGTGCGACTGCATCTCGGTGTTCTCCACCTCCAGCTCGTGCACGCGGCACAGCAGGCTGAGCACCTCGCGCTGCTCCTCGGACCCGATGCGCCGCGGCAGCGTCTCCTCCAGGCGTCGGCCCCGTGCGCGCAGCTCACGGCAGCGCTGCTCCAGCGCCAGCTGGGGGCGGCGCGGGGTGAGCGCCAGGCAGCGGGCGAGGGGCCGCTGCCGCCGGCCCAGCCTGTCCGCGCCGCCTCGGGTTCTGGGACTCCGGGCTGAAGCTCCATTCCGAGGCCAACCCTCGAAGCTGTATCTTGGGCATTGCAACCAGGGGCTGCACCTACATGGTCCCTCTGTACCCACCGTCTTACCGCCCTGACAACAATCCACCCCTGGAACCAGCACCGTGGATATCTGCTCAACCCCAGCCCATCTGATGCCCTCGCGGCTCATGGTACCCTGAAGCCCCCTGGTTTGGGTA